CCCCAAAACCCCAAAACCCCAAAACCCCAAAACCCCAACAAGGTCAGGAATTTATAAAAATTATACAAAATGAAATCCGAAATAGTATTTAAGCATCATACCAGCAGGTCGAGGAAGCCTCTTCTGCTAAAGAACACCCTTGATTTGGATGAATGGACAACTAAAATTCCGGATAGTGGAATATCAAGAATTATTTCTCCAAAACGTAGAAAATAATGTTATTCAAAATTCTAGCAATGAAGAAAATAAAATTAATAAAACAGAAAAATCAATTAAACTCTACAAGCCATTTATGCATGAACGGGATAGCCTAGGGAGACTTATTGGAGAATCTAGTATTAAAAGTACCAAAAATAGCTCGAAAAGTAGCCTTCCAAGCGTGTATCAGTTTAACAAGAAGTGGGCTCACAAAAACGCAGCAAAGAACTCAGTTAGCGGAGACTGGGAATCTAGAGAAATTATTTATGGTTCAGACAATAGCTTGGTTATCAATAAGAAGGAAGATATCTCCTTTGTAAAAGACAATATATTGCAATCAAAAATAGATCCGTCTTTTGAACAAGATGCTCAAAAGGCTGTAAATCCGAGAGGTGCATTTAGGAATAAATATCAAAGTGCGGACTCAAGGCCACTTGCTACTATTAAACTATCTCTTTCTTCCCCACAGCATCAGTATTTAGAAGGTTTCAAACATTTCAGTGTCAAAGATGCTTCTAGAAGATATAAGAAGCCTACACAGAAGCAACTCAGTGAACTATTTGATCCTGAACAGGATAATAGAAGGCTAGACCAAGAAATAGAGTTTGATGATGATCAGAAGATTGGCATCTTGACAGAAATTAGTCAACAGTTTGGATACGATAAAGCTCTCGAGCAAAAAATAAAAAGAGGGTTAATTGCAGATGTTTCTGATCAAATTGTTCCAAAAATTCCTAAAGTTCTGCATAAGCTTTGTAAGCAATACACAAAACGAGAGACTCATAAATAGCCCTTTACGGTATGAATACACTGAAGATGGTGACAGAGTAAAAGCTGTTGAAAGACGTGACAAACAGATTCTTCAAAAGTTCCCCAAATTATCATGAATCAATGTTAAATTTTTAAATAAAGCAGTTACAAAACCTGATTATGAAGATAAGGATATTGAAAAGCCTCTTCCTAAACCAAAAGTAGCTGATTTTTCAACTTCTTCACCAAGACTCCGAAATATTAAAGCGAACGAGCATTCATTAGATTACATTAGTGCGGACAAGTTATTAAACGACAAAATTAACACAAACAAGAGGTATGGCTTAAACAATTTAAAAGTGAACCCTTTCTCTAAAAATATATCAAACCTAAAATTCCTACCACTAACATAATTTTCAAAATGCGAGGTATCTAGGTCACCTCTCTCCCAATATCCTCTCTAACACCCAACCTAGAGCTTCAAAAGTCAAAGTCAACTCCTTCTCCAAACAAATCTCTCGGCAGCAGCTGGAAGACCTCATCTTCCTAAACTCCCAATCCCACAACCTGATAAGTGTGAAGACGAAACTGCCGAAATTTAAGAAGACAAATGATGAGTTTTCACTTCAGAATTTTCACGTTGTTCCAGAAAAGTCTAGGTATAATTTTATTTATGAGATTGAAGGCAGGGAGATTTAGAGTTTGTTGTAAAATGCGAGTTTTAGAAGAAATTAGGGATGTTTTTAATGAATGGATTAGAGTGCATGGGTTTTGTATGGGGGTTTGGGTTGGATTTTTGAAGAACTAAGAGAGGATTTTACTTCTTATTCTTACACTTACTGAGTTTGAAAGCGTGATTAAACAGAGAATGGTTATATCTTTCACTTTGTAGATTTCTAAATATTTATTTCTATTTCAGCTATCAAAGTACAAGGTTTGCTCCTCTTATTGGTTAAATTAAAAAGATCAACCCAACTCTATAGTAATTTCCATGAAAACATCAAAGACATGAGCTTACTTGATGACCACAGAAGCGTTGTTGGAAAATCTAAGAACATCGGTAAAACCTTGATTAAAATATCAAAAATCTACCCACAATTTCCAAAACATCTCTAACCTAAAATTATCAATACCTCCACACAAACCCCTACTCTTAATCCCGTGCTAACCCAACCTCTTTATAGGTAAAGGCATGAAACTTCTCAAGAAAGAATGCAAGCTAATTCCAAAAGAAATCTGCAACCTCGATATCGAACAAGAGTACCGGAAGAATATCTAGAAGAAGGACAGAGAGTTAATGAAGTTAAATATTTCAATTTGGAAGGGATTTGAGGGGTTTTGGGGTTTTGGGGTTTTGGGG